ATATATTACATATATGTATCTCTCTCTCTCTCTCTCTCTCTCTCTCTCTCTCTCTCTCTCTCTCTCTCTCTCTCTCTCTCTCTATCTATCTATCTATCTATTTATATATATATATAAATAAAGTGTTTAAGTGCAAGCGTTTCTTTATGCCTGTGATTCTGTGAGGCCGAGGCGAGGGGAGGGCAGGAGGCCTTTGATGCAGAGCCACTGAATAAGGATCATTTGCCGTCGAACAAGCAGGCTAAGATAGGGACAAAGGGATCAAGAGAATGTCCTTCGTTCCAACTGCTTATCCGTTTAATCAAGCTGATTCTCTGTCCTTTGCAATGTTTCCTTCCTCGTATGTGATTGCCAGCATGTCCCTTTCCTTCCACAGACGTTGCCGGGGCTTTGGCAATGTCGGCAGCAATTTGCAACGCCGCCATTGAGGGGGAGCTGACCGATGGACGTGTGTCTGGCATAAACGAATTGTCGACGAAAGGAAAAGCATTCTTCTCGTTTTACGGCATTCCGTTCGCCAAACCGCCTTTGGAAAAGCTCAGACTGAAGGTAGAATACAAAAAAAAGAAGGAGGGGAGAGAGAGGGGGATAAAGAGAGAGAGAGAGAGGGAGAGAGGGGGAGAGGGAGAGAGGGAGAGAGGGAGAGGGAAAGAGAGAAAGAGAGAAAGAGAGAGAGAGAGAGGGGGGGGGAGAGCGAGAGAGGGGGAGAGGGAGAGGGAAAGAGAGAAAGAGAGAGAGAGAGAGAGAGAGAGAGAGAGAGAGAGAGAGAGAGAGAGAGAGAGAGAGAGAGAGAGAGAGAGAAAGAGTGAGAGAGGGAGAGGGAAGAGAGAGAGAGCGAGAGAGAGAGCGAGAGAGAGAGAGAGAGAGGGAGAGAGAGAGGGAGAGACGAGGGGAAGAAGAGAGCGAACAGTCTTAGGATGCTTGTTTGGCAAGAGGTTAATAGACAAATATATATATATATATATATATATATATATATATGTGTGTGTGTGTGTGTGTGTGTGTGTGTGTGTGTGTGTGTGTGTGTGTGTGTGTGTGATTTTGTGTGTTTGTGTGTGTGTGTTTGTGTGTGTGTGTGTGTGTGTGTGTGTGTGTGTGTGTGTGTGTGTGTGTGTGTGTGTGTGTGTGTGTGTGTGTGTGTGTGTGTGTGTGTGTGTTTGTGTATGTATATATATGGCAATTAAAAAAGCCAAGGGCTCTACTTTACTGCTGCTCTAACTACTTGTCTATCCAATAAAAATAAAACTGCTCATCATAAAAAAACAATGCTTTTTAATCTGTCCGTATCCCCCGCTTTTAACAGGATTTAGGGAAGTCACGGCGGGTTGCCATTAATCGTACAGTGGAAACAATACTGAAAATCTGAATTGAACTTTTCGAATTCAAACGTGGTGTGAGGATAGTGAAGTACAGTGGTCATCTTCCTTCAGTAAATCCTGTACATCTTTCAGTAAACTAGGTAAGGACGATTGCCATTCCTAAACTAAATGAAGGGGTTACTCAGCACTTGTACATTGCACTTCCATTCTCAGTAAAGGGGAGAATGAAAGGAAAAAATTGGTCCGTCATTAGCCAGCTGAATACTGATATATTCCACAACAAGCGACAGAGGAATAGGAAAGTATATGCTGTCCTTTCTTTAACCCTTAAATAGCGATTGAATATCCCGTCCTTGTGGGGAAAGTTGGGTTGTGTAGTATTGCATTCGAGTGGGCGGTATCTGCTTACCTGAGGGTGTTGCCTGGTACTCTATGCTCTCTTGGTAAGGAGTAATATTATCATTAATATATATATTTTTTTCATAACTACTGCTGCTCTAGTGTAGTAGTAATTATGCGTGTGAGAATATCTTCATACACATCATAAATACCCATCGTTTCAACTGGGATTTACTTCCATTATATTTCGCTGTGAGGATCCATTCTGAAGACCTAGGTAACGTGATACCATTTGCCTGTAATGACCTATCATCTGTGCCCCTTTCAAAGCCAGATAAACCAGGAGGGGAGGCAGCTGGTACTCTGTATTTCGAGTCACTGTGTGCCTGGATATCGATTATCTCTCCAATTCTGTTTTGGATCTGTTGATTATTGAGTTGAAATTCATCGAGTTATAAGCAATGTCACTGAGTTTGCACCGCCTGATACTCATACAAGAGATACTCAAGATCTCTTAGTATGTGTTTTTTTTTTTTTCTTATTTTACCTGACTCATTTATTAAGCATAATTATTTTGATGTGTGACCACAGATATTGGAAATAAGGATGACATCACCATGAGATTGAGGTCCTATGCATGTGTTTGTCAATTAACCCATTGGCCACGGATTTATGTTCTGTCCCCTGTTGGTTTTGGTGAATTTTGCTACCTACAGATGGCTCCACATGTACTCAGCCGGCAAGGAGTCTATCAGTAGGCCCTAGTTACCGACCCTGATTTTCCCATTCATTGAATTGGCGGGAAAATTAATATCATTGCTTTCGATGCTGTTATTATTGTTACTGATGTTATGATGATTGAATTGTCATTAGAATATTTTTGACAATAAGATGATACAAAAAACCCTTTCCGAAAGTGAAGGAAAAGGGTAAACAGGTGAAATAGGTAGTTCTTGATAACTGGCTATTTGGTGATTAAGAACTTGTAGAGCCATCTATGTGTAAATACAATAAATAAACGTGTATCAAAGTGGGTATGGCATCTATTCTTGCCATCCGCGGCGAATGGGTTAAAATACAGACAGTATAATGCGGTTTTAGTGAGTGCTAGAGGACGTTTTTTTTTTTTTTTTAAGCAGGTTTCCTATAGTCTTTTCTGTTCCTTATAGATGTATCCCGAAACGTATGTATTGTGATGTGAATCATCATCATTATTGTTATCAACTTTACTTTACTACGGTATTACTCTTTCTACAATATTACTATTATTGATATTGTTATTATTATTATTACTATTATTATTATTAATTTTATTATTATATTATTATCATCATTAGTAGTAGTAGTAATAGTAGTAGTAGTAGTAGTATTACAGTTATTTGATTTAATTTTATCAATTTATCTATCTATATATTTATACATATTTCTGTAATATTCCCACTCCTACTCCTACACGCGCCTGCAGGAGTGGCTAATTCTGCCCCGCCCGATGACTCCTCGCGTTGACAGTGACTACCTTCCCGAGTAGCCAGCGACCCTCATGCGGCAAGGGAGGTCCAGCCGCGTCGATATTATGGCCGGAGTGACGAGGAACGAGGGGGCGATGAGAGCGAACCGTTAGTGTGTCCCTACTGTCCCTTTTTATTGGGCTGTGATTTGTTACTTTTAGGGAATGTTATTGTCGCTTGAAAGTAATTAGAATGGTGGAGATTTGAGAGGGAGGGGATTGCGAGGATAATGATGATGATAATTATAATTTTGACATAATTTATCGCAATAATAAAGAAAAAAAGTATTAACTAAACACACAATATCCTCAATAATGATTTTAAAATATAGATAAAACACACAATATCCTCACATATCGTTAACAAGAACTCCGGCCCCCTTATCAACAACCCTTCTGCATTTCCGAATAAGTGCTACACTGTACCATTTCCTCCCTCAACGCTTCGCCCTTCCGCCCACAGCCCTGTTCTGTCGAGAAGACCTTTATCGCGCCCTCAAGAATAACTTCACTACTATTGGTCCCATGAGCCTAAGTTGCCAGAATGAGGTAGACCTACTTTCTCTGACCACGAAGATATATGATTATTATCCAGGAGACTTGGACATCGACGAACAACACATTGAGAAAGCAGCACAGGTGTCACTCCTAAAATAAGTCTACATCTCTGTTGTTTCCTATATCCAATAACCTGTTTAATTAGGAACTGTGTAGACTATTTAATGAGATCAAGAGCTGAAAATCATGAAATGTGAATAGAAACAGACATTGATAACAACGAACGATCGTCGTCATTGGAATCACTGGAATGCCAACGTTCCAACTCATCAAAACAGAAAGTCTGAATTGTACTTCCATTTATGTCGAAAGAATTTAGTATTTGCTTCTAAAAAAAAAATCTTAAAATAAATGCTTCTGAAAAAAATGTACTCTGAGATGACCAAAGAAACGGAGGATATATTCATACCATAGTTAAAGGATAGATCTTTATGAATCAAGTACAAATAAAGGGGTTTTCATCGCGGTCCCTCGTCTTTCTCAGTGTTTGTTCCTGGCGAGTCTGTGCGTTCAGGATGGAGGACCTGGTTCACTTGCGTTGGCAGGGAAGCGTAGAAATCCCGTGCCTGGCAGAGGAGACAAGGAAAATATCTCTTAAATAGATATATCTTCGTGTAATTTACTCTCTCTTTGTCTATGTATCTATCTGCCTGTCTATCTAATTTCTCTCTCTCCCTCCTCACTTTTAATTTCACCCTCCTTCCCTCTCTCTCTCCTTTTCTCTCCCTCTCCGCATGTAAATACACATGTTTGGAACAACGTTAGCCCAATTTTAGGCACATGTGGATATTTAAGCGGACATTTTTTTAAATGTTTGTTTTACTTGAAGATGGAATGTTGATGAAAAATTTCCTTAGCATTATAATAACTTTGTATCGAAATATCAAGCCTGAATTCGCTCTTTTCGGCGGATCGCTTTCCATTTTAACTGTTACGGTGAAAATTCTCATCTCTTACGTTATGTATTGAAGCAAATATTTTGACAAAGGGGTCCTTAGAATTTCAATTGCATCCGTCTGTTATGGCTTACTCTTATACTTCTCTTACATTTTACAATCCACATGTTTTGGCATAAACGAAAAGAATGCATTTGCAATAATTCTTGACTGATAAGAGACATGCACGGCTTTGCAATTCCCTCCAGACATCAAGCACGTAAATTTCACTCAAAAGTGACATATGATTAAGTGTCATATAGGTGTATGTGTACGTATCAGAATATGTATGTTGTATTTCAGTTTCGAAAGAGTGTATGTTAACTTGGACCGCAGAGATGTCTAGCTAATGATGCACCAGAAGTCACTCGCCTCCTGTCGCTGGTCAGCCTCCATGGCGGGCGAGGGCGTGAGGGCGAGGTACCGAAGGTCGTCCTCGGTTGCCGCCTCCCACTTGAAGCCAAGGGCGTCGTTAGGTGTCGGGTTACTGTGGGGGCGGGGGGAGGGTAAGCATTAAAAGTGTGTATAAACAAAGAATAATAAAAAATATGTGTTCATCTATATAGAAACAGTAATAACAGAGTGTGAAATAAAAGATTATCCCAAAGAAAGAGATACGCGTCATTTTGACATAATAGGTGAAGTGTGTGGAATTTGGTGACAGTCCTGGTGTACATTTTACAACACTGAGGTCAAGCTTGGTCCTCCTGCCTTTGTGATATGGTATTATTACGAAGAGAAACGGTGAAATGTTGATTTTACACGGTATAGCAGTTACGATTACAGAATTGAATATTACAATGCAGAACATCAACCAGTCTTCAGAGGGACATAGTTAAGTCATCAGGTGTACCCTACTACAGCATGTAATTGAAATCTTGATTATATCAGATGGAAGAAAAAAAGTATTGCATTTTATACAATACACCTAATATCCACTCAATACCTGTAACTCAAGCTTCGAATCTCAAAGCTGATCTTTCCTGATCTTTCAGACTTCCAGACTTGCCAACAATACCACAACAATACACTGTGGGTTCCTGCGGCCATGTGCGTAAGGGTCCTTTCCCGAACGGCAATACACACGTGGAAAAAGTTACCCCGTGGCAGCGAAGTTCGTCCACGTGGTGGTGATGATGTCCCTGAGGCGCAGGTCCTCTTGGCTCTGCAGGTCAGGCAGGCGGTCGGGCAGGCGGCCGGGGCTGAGGAGCGGCCCGCCGGCGAACAGGTAGTACAGGTCGTCCCCGTGAGGAATCCCTGAGATACAGGGCAAGGGGGGAGGGGTACTATTCCACTGAGCTCCTATTATATTCAGTAAAGTACATACAAGTCTGCCTCTTCGTCAATGAGAATCTAATCACAAGGAGAGTTTGGAGATGTTAGTGTATCATTTTCGCTTTCTCTTCTGATCACGGAAAAATAAAGCAAACCAAAGAACACCATTTTGTAACAACTCACAGTGACGCCCTTTATCTGTGTTGTAGAAATCTCCCATGGACAGCTGGGATCGGTGCTTGAGCTCGTAGCGGTAAGTAGCAAGACCTGGAACCCGAGCGTGGTAGCTGGTCGTCAGGTCGTGTGGTATCGCAAACGAGTAGTCTGTATTCAGCTGTGAACATCAACTATTTGTATCAATAATATAATAAACCCTTTGAAGAGAAAATCACGTTATATGTTGACTATATATTATAACATATATGTTATATGTTGACTAAACATTATATATGTAATAGCAACAAATGGCAATAGCAATAAGAAACTGACAGGATAATTTCAGACTTGCCTTTACAAACCTCTCATTAAGCAGGAATCTTACAAGAGAATGTAAAAGAGTAGGAATGGTACCTTAGTGAGCTCTTCTATGCGGTCGCGGTCGATGGTTGCGTTGCCTAAGTAGTGTTGGTAGACTTTGGTGATAAAAGCACTTGTGTCTTGAACTTCAGGCCCAACCATCAGGCTGAGAGGGCCAATGGTGGAAAAGTTGTTCTGCAAAGTAGGGAGGAGGTCCTCGCGAACAAGCATCGCTATGGAAGAAGATTCTTTCAGTTGTCTTGGGGTGATATTCATGGTCAAGAATAACATTTCCATTTATTTTTCACCTCACTTTTTACTATTGCTTTATCTGTCTCTATCTTTGACATTAAGCCTTGTAACTGTCATACCACCAAAACATCACTTACGATTTGTTATTATAGCTCCATCGTCTCTTGTGAAACCAGCCATGAGGTCTACTTGGTTGAAGTTTCCGTTACGCATCAGACGCGCGGGGTGATCCGGTAGGAAGTCTCCATCAACATGAGGTAAAGCAACAACGGGCAAGATGAACCATCTCTGGAGCAACGTTTATTATAGGGAAATTAAACTATACAAAGAGCTATTCCCATCTTTAAACAAATCCTTCATTGCAATGCAAGTCGAGAAACTGTTCTTTATAAAATGTTGCAAGCTCACCATAAAATCCTGAACCACTACAGCCAACCTCCGTCCATCCACCTTCTGCAGACAAGTAAGCATGTCCTGGCTGCCGCTGCCTTTGGAGCAGCCAACTCTTTCGCTCACTTCCTCAGCCACAGTCCGGAGGTCTTCCCGGCAAGCCCACGGCGAGATGGCCGACCCCGACTGCATGATGGCACGAGAGAAGAGACCTAATGGGGATAGAAGTGTTTTGTGTGCTCTGTTGACTGGGGATAGCTTGTACTTATATGCCATGTCCACTGTGAGTTCATTTTATTAAATGCCTTTACATATTGTTCAGTTACTAGTACTACCCATCTCACCTGTTCACCCTTTTCCTTGATTTTGGAAATATAATTGTTTATTCCACATTGCTATTAATATTGTTGATAATACTGAATTAGTCATAATGTCACTGATAATAATGCTGATAATAAGAGTATTAGATTTTTTCAAAAACACTCAAGGAAGGAGGAAATCAGGAGAGGGCATTTAATCTTTTAGAAATGCAAGGTATTCTATCGGTTACAGATATTGTATGTTTTATATATATATATATATATATATATATATATATATATATATATATATATATATATCAGGACATTAAATAGTCTTTCTACAACCTAGTTTCATTACTATTGTTAAAAAAAGCGTGACACACCTTACAGAGCTCTGTTTTCCCAGATATTATTTCATATGCCACTGACTATATCCGTTTATCAGTCCCCACCCACTCTGAGGCTCCTGGGAATATGAGACTTGCCTGTTTAGCACAGATAAGGCTAATCCCCAAAGCCTGGTCGGGCATGGTCACCATAAACACCGTACGCATATGCACAGACAAGAGACAGGGAGAGAAATATGGGATCTGTATGTACAGTATGTATCAAATCACTTATTTTGAATCAGTAATACAGTATTTGAGTTAATTGTCTTGTAGATTCCTTGTACTGCATACTAGGGCCGGAATAACAGCACTTCCACATGAATACCACCTATTTGTAGAGCTAAACATTGTTAAATATTCCAAATAAGACTTCATATGGTAAACAAAAACAATTAATTGATTAGATATTAGTATAAATGTAGTCATGAAAATTCAATCAATCACAAGCATGCGTCATAAGGGGAGGTTGGTTGTTGTGACGTCTTGTTAATTAATAAAAGAGGATCCATGTTCCTGCCCACACATCGCTCACATAATATACAGGCATACGAATGATCTGTGTTCATTGTGGCATATTTGGAAAAGGGAGGAATTATAATTGATATCTCCACTATGTAACATGCATCTATATTCTGTGTTAAAGAGAGCGAGGATGACTCATGTGTTATGTTGAGAGGGCCGCCACCAGACATCAACCAAAGCTCAGAGATGCATATAATTTACACCCTTTCACGTGATTCAGATTAAGAGCTACTAAAAAAAGTGTAACTATGGTAGATCATATTTCCTCTTGCCTTGTATTTTATACAGAGATAAATATTTCAATGATTTGCAATACTATGCTTACAGGATGCAAAACAAGAGCAAAGACACCATATACATTAAGAACAACATACAAATCACTTTTATGAAGAAATATAGAATAGAGATTAGTAAATTTATGGAAGATGAAGATGATGAGGATAAAGAAACTGTTGTACGCATGCACTACTGAATAGGACAGTTGAACGCACCTTTTGATTTGGGTGACAATATATGATAATGGACAGAGGCGCCCCCAGCACTCTCGCCGAAGATGGTGACCCTATGGGCGTCTCCTCCAAAGTTGTGGATGTTGTCCTGCACCCAGCGGAGGGCGAGGGTCTGGTCCTTCAGCCCAAAGTTCCCTGGAATCACCTCATCCTCTGTGGACAGGAATCCTGGAAAGGAAATATTGAAGTTTAAGAGAAATACAGAAATATTCAATAGGAAATGAGTTCACATTTCGATAAAACAAATGAGTGTATACAAACCATAAAGGGATAAACCATTGAACTGGCATTCATAACGCAATCTCAAATGCAGCCTCGGTTGATGCTCAACTCACCCATGATACCAAGTCTGTAGTGCAAAACTACAAGCACAATGTCGTGGTTCATGAGGACTTGAGGTCGCATATTCATGAAGAGCTGCCAGCGAGAAAATCCCAACTTACGTGGATCCACACCATCACTGGAAGACTTTCCTTGAGCCATTTTCTTGTCAAAATGAGATGTAAACGATAAGAATAGTTGAGAATATGGATGAAATAAAATAGCCATAACATTAGAATTTGTGATCATGATAGTTTCATATTTACTAAATATTTCAATGATTTGCAATACTACGCTTATAGGATGCAAAAAAAAAAAAAAAAAAAAAAAAAAAAAAAAAAAAAAAAAAAAAAAAAAAAAAAAAAAAAAAAAAAAAAAAAAAAAAAAAAAAAAAAAAAAAAAAAAAAAAAAAAAAAAAAAAAAAAAAAAAAAAAAAAAAAAAAAAAAAAAAAAAAAAAAAAAAAAAAAAAAAAAAAAAAAAAAAAAAAAAAAAAAAAAAAAAAAAAAAAAAAAAAAAAAAAAAAAAAAAAAAAAAAAAAAAAAAAAAAAAAAAAAAAAAAAAAAAAAAAAAAAAAAAAAAAAAAAAAAAAAAAAAAAAAAAAAAAAAAAAAAAAAAAAAAAAAAAAAAAAAAAAAAAAAAAAAAAAAAAAAAAAAAAAAAAAAAAAAAAAAAAAAAAAAAAAAAAAAAAAAAAAAAAAAAAAAAAAAAAAAAAAAAAAAAAAAAAAAAAAAAAAAAAAAAAAAAAAAAAAAAAAAAAAAAAAAAAAAAAAAAAAAAAAAAAAAAAAAAAAAAAAAAAACACTACTGAAATAGGACAGTTGAACGCACCTTTTGATTTGGGTGACATATATGATAATGGACAGAGGCGCCCCCAGCACTCTCGCCGAAGATGGTGACCCTATGGGCGTCTCCTCCAAAGTTGTGGATGTTGTCCTGCACCCAGCGGAGGGCGAGGGTCTGGTCCTTCAGCCCAAAGTTCCCTGGAATCACCTCATCCTCTGTGGACAGGAATCCTGGAAAGGGAATATTGAAGTTTAAGAGAAATAGAGAAATATTCAATAGGAACTGAGTTCATACATAAGTGAAAAAATAGTATACAAACCATAAAGGGAAAAGCCATTGAAATAGCATTCATAACGCAATCACAAATGCAGCCTCTTTTGATTCTCAACTCACCCATGATACCAAGTCTGTAGTGCAAAACTACAAGCACAATGTCGTGGTTCATGAGCACTTGAGGTCGATATTCATGAGAGCTGCCAGCGAGAAATCCACCTCCGTGGATCCACACCATCACTGGAAGACTTTCCTTGAGCATTTTTCTCTGTCGATGTAAATTTAACAGTAAGAATAGCTTTGATGATATATGAATGGAATAAATAGCCATAACATTAGAGATTTGAGATCATTGATATGTTTCATATTTACCAAGTATTCTGACTTACTTTCGGTGTAAAAACGTTTAGGTAGAGGCAGTCCTCATCCCCCAGCAGTTCCTCTGGCGCCTTAACAATGCCCATCACAGAGAAGAACAGCGGCACAAGGAGACACGAGGAGGGCTTCTTTGATCCATCCCGCACGCCTTCCCAGCTCTCAGCCTTAACCGGGTTCTGGAAGTGAGGGAATTATAATTTATTTTTCTTTTCCATTTTACTGCATATAAATATTCCCCTTCTGTTTTTCAACCGCTTTACGAGAACGACCTTACTACAGGAGACTGATATTTCCGTGACTTACTGGGCTAGATCAAATAGGACAAAATGGTTTACCAAATGCATCTTCTCCAGTCATTCCATTTTGGGACAAAGAGACCCATGTCCCGCAGCTATCAAAGCGTCCATTTGATCCTTTATTCCAGCCAGACTGGTGGCTCAGTCTAGGCTCCGGTCAATACAGTCAACTAGAGATGTTTGGTAATGGGTCTTGTGGCACTACCCAGTTCATTTAACCCACTTGTGACAGCCACCACTTCCTCTTATTGAACTTGGTATGTATAAAAGGTAGGGAAGTGAGAAAAAATAGTGTTCCATTTTTCATTATGGGTAATCGTGCCAGTAGCAAATATAAAAGACACTTCCTCTTTCCTGAGTTATTTTAGTAAGCCTTTGAGAAAACCTGAATTATCACTGCCACTTTTATTGCACCGAAAGGAAGAATCACAGAAATTTGCCTTGCGAATTCAAAATACTGCATATTATGGGTAAAGCCACTGATTCATCATGGATATACTATCAGTTAGGATACAGAAACATATAAACAATGATTTTGAAGTTGGTAACTAGTAGATAGTCTTAACAATTAACTGTTTCTGGAGGGACATGGTGGTGTAACAAGAATGCACAATAGCTATATCTAAGACTTGTTTCACGTTATGAAGGTTTGCAAAATACAGATGATTCTGGAGCACCAACCACCGGCCCCAGACGCATTGTGAAACGCCTCCCGCCCTTTGGGGGTCAATACTCACCTTGAGCCTGAGTTCTCCCACAGGAGGCTTGGCAAAGGGGATGCCGTAATAGGAGTAGAATGCCTTGCCCTTCGTGGAGATCTCAGTGATGCCAGACACCTGACCCTCCTCCACTGTTACCACGGGCACGCCACTCCAAAACGTCAGAGCTGCCATTATGGTAAACATGATTGCCAAAATCCTATGTAGCATTTTGGTGCTGGGGGAAAATAGAAAGGTAATGCTTCTTAAAAATATTTCTCTGTCTGTGTGGTGTACTTGTTCCAACACTGGCCTGAGAGCTTGGGATCGTTATGGTGTGATTCTTGGGTATTTTGGCCCCGATACCCCAAGTCAACTCGACACCCCTCTGTAATACTACTCATGAATTTAAAACTTCGTTTTTCTTTAAAAGGAGTGTAGAGTATAGTTCTGAAAATTTGTTATATCTAGTTTACATTTTCCTTTCCAACGACAAAAATGCACTTCTCAATAATCACATAAAAATATAAGTGTGCCACCACAAGCAACTCCCAGAAACTGCATGACGTTAATTAATGGGCCTAATAGTATTATTAACAATTCAGTAATGATGGTACACATCGTGCGTACTGTGGTTTACCTATTAGGCTTTGTACTATATATCTGAGGATCATTTCTACATTTCTTGCTATGATATGACTTGCAGTCAGAGTAGCTAAGCCAATTTCCTGCTTGTTTCTAACTAAGATTGGTTTTGTTTGTTGCTAGAGACTCCGGATTCCGATAGATCGTGACCGTTCGTAGACACTGATAGACATCATAAAGACCAACAGTAGAGTAAATAATTCGTATAAATTGCATGTAGTTTTGGAATCTCCGTGATTCGTTCTTTGGGTGCCAGGAAGGTTCCGAAGCTGTCAGCCTGATAACTATTAATGG